TTAATAACTTTTTCAAATATTTAATTTAAATAAAACAACCTTTTTAATAAAAAATAAATTATTTATCAAAATATAAAACATTTCTAGCATTGAAAAATAATTTTCGGGGTGGCCACATAAAATTTTTATAAGAAATTTTATGTGGCCATTTATTAATGGTTTAACGTCCATGTTTATACACTTATGGGGCTTAGACAGGGATCAAATAATGTCATTTGTTATGTTAAATAGCATGCATTTTCTAAAGCAATTTTTTACAATTCCATGCACTTTAAGGCGTTAACCAGTTTTGCAGACCGAGAATGGGCATTTTGAACATTACACATCCTTCAAAAATTAAAAAAGGAAGAATTAATGAGGAGCTTTGATCAAATTTTTACCTCTTTAGAGGATAATAGAGGATTTTAAAAGTGGTTTTAAAAAAAGAGGACTTTAGAGGATTTTAGAGGAGCTGCAGACACCCTAATTATAAATGAGGTAATTCCACCAATTAACTGTAATTGATTTATCTGTAAAAAAACATGAAGAAAATCTAATATTATGCTTGTGGAGATATATTATATTGTGGAGAACCATCCGAACCACACAAGTGGAAAATTTGAATCCAAGTTTCCACTTGTGTGCAAATCTTGCATCCACTTTTTAACATTCTCATTATTACATTTTTCTTTTGTAGTTGTGAATTTAAAATTTTCACAATATTGTTTGCTTTCTTTTAGAATTGAAATAGTTATACAAATAGTTATATATTTTGTATCAACAAAATAACTCTTCTTACCACATTATTTAAAAAATAATAATGGTAATATATAGATGTAATACCTGAAGAGAATTTAGTTTTTATTTGTATAAACTTAAGCCAATTCTTCTCTGCATTTTAGTGCAGTCAATGCTTTGGTACCTGGAAGCCGACAAACAGTTTTATCACTAATCCAATTAGATGAAATTACTTCTTCTTGTAAATCTTCATTCCAAACAGCTCCTTTCCGCATATTCGATTTTGAAAAAACTACATGAACTAATATAAAATGAAGAAACCATAATATAAGTGTACTAACAGGCCTAATTAAACTAGCTAAGTTTGAACATTTTATAACTATGATACTTGCTAAACAATAATATTAGTAGACGATATATACAAAGATAAGATTTTCTTTATTTTATAAATTTATTATATTTTAAACTCATTTTTATTAATTAATTTATTACTCTATTATTCAGCAGAGTTCTGAATATATTATGTTCAAATAACTTAAGACTCAATAACAAAGACAAATAATGAAAGAATACTAGGTTGCTAAAACATAAACATCTACATAAGATAATTATGGAATATTGAAAAAAAAAAAAGAAATACAAAAAAACAAAAATTACTCATTATTAATATAAAATATAATAGTATAGTATAAGGTATATTATAATATATGACACAATAATATCTACTTTTAATTAAAATATAAAAACAACAAAAATTAAAAAAGAAAATATTTTGATAAATAATAAATAAAAGACCAAAAAATAACTTGTAACTTATTTTTTTACTTATCTTCATCTAATAAACATTACTTATTTTTTACTCATCTTCATCTAATAAACATTAATATTAATACCAATTTTAAACATTATTATAATTTTTTTTTTTTATCAAAAAATAAAAATATTACATCAGTTGGGCTTTTCTTATTTTACTCAAAAAATCAACTCAATTCTAGGCTTTTTTCATAATTGAGTTTTAATTTGTAATGTTGAATTAACACTGAAAAAAAATATATTAGCAGACAAAAAGAAAATATTTCTTTATTGAAATGTAATATTTCTTTATTGAAATGTAAATATTTCAATAAAGAAATTTTAGATTGATTTTTATAAATATAAATTTATATCAATCAATCTAAATTTTTTTTTTTTCCGCCACCTTTTTGAAATGAAGCGCATTTTTAGAAGTTAGACAAAATGCCATCAATTAAAGTTTCAGTCGTCCTATCGTATTTAATAGAAGAAGCTGTTAATAAAAAAGAATTAGAAAAAAAAAACAAAAACACAAGGAGAAATTTTTGAATATATAAAAAATGAGAATAAAAAAGTTTTACATATTTTATAAAGGTATACCTTTCACTACACCATATAAATTAGTGCTCTTAAAGCATATTTCCACCTTTCCCCTTCATATTCATGGAGGTCACAAAATTGTTGGAAAATATTCTAAATTTTAATAGATAAGAGAACTGATATCAATTATGCGAGAACTAATATTAATTTTTTTGTTTAATTTAAATTGAACTCATTATCAAACAATTTTCTTGCTAAATAATTTAATCCTTAAAATTTCTGAATAATTAAAAATTATTTTGATTACCTCATCATTTTAAAGATATTCCATCAATTGCAATTGATTCACCTAAAAAAAACAAACAAACAAGTAAAGCTAATATTATTGTTTGGAACTTTAATTATCTTTATACAAATACTCATCATATTTTTAAAGTGACTGATAAAAATGGATTTAATTAAAATCACTTCATTTGTATTAAAAAATTAATATTAAAGCCTTAATCATACATTATACAAGAGTATTTTGTAATACAATCTAAATAGTTGTTGCAATATGTAATTTTTTTATCCGAAATTTAGCTTCTGTAAGCTTTAGAAATTTTTTAAAGAAATTATTGATAAATTTGGAGCTACGGGTACTTATGTTTTTGTATTGTTGTAATGCTTGTATTCATTCCCTGTTAGTTTCTGTAAGTCAAAATTTTAAGGTGTTTCCATAATAAATTCTGTTATATCTGAAATTTAGTGTTAGTCTGAATAATTTAATTTCTAAAATCTGTTTTGCATTGCCTGTCTTAGAGTTGCAAAAAAACACGTTTTTTTCCTTTGGCGTTTTTTTGCAACTCTAAGACAGGCAATGCAAAATGCACAGAAGTGTTAAGTACAACATTTGATCAAATTGAGCTAAGTACACAAAAACTGTTGTATTATTCAAAGATTATTCTGTCCGAATATGGTCAGTGTATGATAAATTGTTATGAGTGTACAAATTGACATTACGTGTCAAGTACAAAAACGAGAAAAAAAAATGTATGCACAAATGCTCAAAGTGTCCTTGTTTATAAATATAAATATGTATATATATATATATATATATATATATATATACATATATATATGCATATATATATATATATATATATATATATATATATATACATATATATATATATATATATATATACATATATGTATATATATATATATATCTATATATACATATATATATATATATATATACATATAAATATATATATATATATATATATATATATATATATATATATATATATATAAATATATATATATATATATATATATATATATATATATATATATATATATATATATATATATATATATATATATATATATATATATATATATATATATATATATATATATATATATATATATATATATATATATAGTCTTGCATGGTAGTCACAAAGTTTTTCCCATAAACTGTTGTTTTAAGAGCAGATTAATAAGCCTGACCAGAAAATGTTAAAAAACTTCCAAAAAAAAATTTTTTTTATATGATAGACTGCCTGCCCAAACCAAACTCTCAGTTGATGTAACAGCACTTCCTTGCGAGCCAGGCTATTTGTCAGTCAATGTAGCAACACTCTGTTGCGAGTCAGGCTGTAAGAGAGTGGATGTAGCAACACTCCCTTGTAGCAGCAGGCTATAAGATAGTCAATGTAGCAACACTTACGCATGTTTTAAAAATGTTTTTTAATAAAACAAAAACACCACTAATTAAAAAAAACTTTCTACTCATTATTATTGCGATTTTTTTAAAAAACAATAAAATTTAATGTACTTCCGCATTAATTTAATTGCTTTGACATTTCGACGACAATAAATTGCAACTTAAGAGATGAGGTAAAAAAATTGTAGTCGAAAGAGACTTTTTTTTACCATAAAAGTCTCTTTCGACTACACTATAAGGATATATATATATATATATATATATATATATATATATATATATATATATATATATATATATATATATATATATATATATATATCTCAATATATCAATATATATATCAATATATATATATATCAATATATAAATGTATCAATGTATATATATATATATATATATATATATATATATATATATATATATATATATATATATATATATATACATATATCAATATATATATATATATATATACATATATCAATATATATATATATATATATGTATATCAATGTATATATATCAATATATATATATATATATATATATATATATATATATATATATATATATATATCAATATATATATATCAGTATATATATATATATATATATATATATATATATATATATATATATATATATATATATATATATATATATATATATATATCAATATATATATATCAATATATATATATATATATATATATATATATATATATATATATATATATATATATATATATATATATATATATATATATATATATATATATATATATATATATGTATATATATATATGTATATATTTATATATGTATATATTTATGTATGTATGTATATTTTTTTCGTCTTTAATTTTCATAGTTATTTTAAAGTCATTTTTTAGGCTGAAGAAGAAAATTTATATCATAGACTTTTAAACTTTTTAAGTAATTTAGACAACGTCTTATTGACATGGGACAATGTAATTTTGCATAATTTTGAATAAATTTTTTTTTTAACAATGCCAAGCTTGCAAGAGCAAATAATAATAAAGAAAATTGTAATTAATTCACTAAAATAAATTACAGTTGTTTAAATTTAATGTAAAAGTAACAAGAAAAAAAGGAGATCGATACCTTCGCGGTTAGCAGACTTTAACATCCCTCAGAATTAGGCCGTATTTTTCGGTTACCGTTTCTAATTTTATTTATTCTAATAACCACGTGGTAACCGCGAAAAACATTAAGTAGTTAAGATTTAAAAGATTAATATAAGGTTTTTTTAATTAAAAAAATTAGAAGCATGGATGAATTAAGTAGTTATGAAAACAATGGAAGTATGAGTAGTTCTGAAGATACTATTTCAGATGAAAGTGAAAGTATAACAGGTTTTTAATCAGCATTTTATCTTATTAAATCGTTTTATGTAGGTTTTTAATCAGCATTTTAATCCTTATTAAAAATGACATATGTCATGTTTAATTAGGATTCACGTAATACGTTTATGTACAAAAACGTTATCTTTGTTGTTTAAATAGCCATAAACATGTTTTGACAACAATATTTAATAGGATTAGGTAAACCCTAATAAAAATGGTATAATATTTCATCAACAAAAAAGCACCATTAAATGAAAATTTTTTTGTTGATGAAATATTATACTATTTTTATTAGGGTTTACCTAATCCTATTAAATATTGTTGTCAAAACATGTTTATGGCTATTTAAACAACAAAGATAACGTTTTTGTACATAAACGTATTACGTGTAATCCTGCTAATATACATATATTACATGTAATATATTTATGTTTTTCATTAAATAGTATATGAATATATATATATATATATATATATATATATATATATATATATATTATATATATATATATATATATATATATATATATATGTATATATATATATATATATATATATATATATATATATATATATATATATATATACATACATAAATATGATAAAGATATAATATAGATGAGTATAGTATAGTAAAATATGTTTAATATGAATTAAATAAATAAATAAAAGATAAAATATATTTAAAAAATACAAAAGATCTAGTAGAAACTAGATCTCTAAACTGAATATAGTAGATAATCTACTATATTCAGTTTACAGATCTAGTTTGTAGAAAAATTTTTTTTTACTTATTCACCAGTTTTTTATTTTAAATTAGAAAACATTGAAGAAGATACAGGCACTCAAGATACAAATTCTGCAATTTACCTTAATAAAGGTTTGTCTAATATTTAAACATTAAATAAAAATTTTATATATATATATATATATATATATATATATATATATATATATATATATATATATATATATATATATATATATATATATATATATATATATATATATATATATATGTTAAAACGTAAAAGTTCTTATAGTTGTTTATTAATTTTCTGTAGATGGAAAAAAGCAATTCATTTATCATTGTAAATCCCACAAAGAAGCACTTCAATATATTAAAAAATATGAGTTAGCAACAACAACACGATTTGTGGTGTTTAAGGCGAATAAAAATTTTGGAGCAACTGGTGTGCTAGTTTTTTTATATAAAAATGTTCAAAATAATATATTTTAAAATATTTTAAGTCAGTTTATTTAAATTTTTTTTACACTTTAGTAGATTAAAAAAGTTATGCTTTAGAGATTCTTACCAAGACTCATAATGTACTTTGGCATGATTTTGCTATTCCTTATTCTGGGATGCCTTTCATAATAGTTTCAAGTAAAGTTTTAGATTGTCATCATGGGTTCGATCGAAATATTTCATTAAAAAAAAATATCAACAAAAGAAAAGAGAAATTAACGTAATACATTACTTTTAAATCTTTGGTATCATTCTTTTCTTTAATAACTTTTAAAATCAAAACAAGTTTTGAAAAATATAATGTATAATCTACTTTAAATGTACTGTATAACTGTTTGGTTATAGATGGATGACCACTGCTTTCAAAAAAACTACGTTATTTTACAAGATACCAAAAAGTTTATGTGTCCTGCAAAAATCAATATGAGAGAAATATTGCAATTTCCTGATTTTAAGGTACAGGTTTAGTATATAAATTATTTATAAAATAATGATATGTTATATGTAATAAGTAATCCTAAAACAGTAAAATTGTATTCTCACCTTTTATATATTTAGATATCAGAGAGGTCTGTATGGCGTCAAAATAAAGCCTCAAAACTGTTGCGTGAAAAACTAAAAACCTCTGCATTGAATGAAATATTGCATATAAGAACAATTGTAGTTATTATTGATGATGTATCATGCCATGATAAACATCTTGTTGGACCAGTATAAAAATATAAAATAGTTTAATTCTAAATTGTAGATAATTATTCAACCAATATATATATATATATTTTTTTAAGGCTGAACTGATAGCTCAAAGTATTGATCCTCTAATTTCCAAAAAAATAGAAGATTATGTTATGGAAGGAGTATTCAATGTAAGAGAGATGAAACGTCTCCTTCGGATTGCTGTCAATGACATTTTTGAAAAAGAAAATCTTCCTCCTCCAAATAACAGAAGGTTCTTCCCTCGTGTTAATACAATAAGGTCACATATCGTTAAAATCAAACAAAAGTTAAGGTAATTCAATAATTATTAGATTACTAGTTATAAAATAATTAATTTTAGTTTAATATAATATAATAATATAATATCATATTTTTAATATAAAGATAATTTTTAAATTTTTCATGTATTGCTTAATGTTGTAATTTTAAGCAAAAATGCAAATCTTTTATTTTTTTATGATCTTTTAGCGGCTCCAGGGTCAATTTGCGACTCAATTTGCAAATCAAGACCTGCTTCTATTCGAAACTAAAAATGCTGATTTGCAGGGTCTAAATATATATATATATATATATATATATATATATATATATATATATATATATATATATATATATATATATATATATATGTGCATATATATATATATATATATATATATATATTTATATATATATATATATATGTATATATATACAGTGCTCAAAGTGGAGAAAAAAAAGTAATGGGGTGGTATTCGGTAATTAATAAATACCATCCCGCCTAATCATTGTTACATATATAGATTTGTAAAAAGGTGGTGAGATTGTTTATACTTTATAAATAAGTGATGGGATGGTGTCCCGCTGCATCCCGACTCACTTCAAGCACTGTATATATATATATATATATATATATATATATATATATATATATATATATATATATATATATATTTATATATATATATATATATATATATGTATATATATACAGTGCTCAAAGTGGAGAAAAAAAAGTAATGGGGTGGTATTCGGTAATTAATAAATACCATCCCGCCTAATCATTGTTACATATATAGATTTGTAAAAAGGTGGTGAGATTGTTTATACTTTATAAATAAGTGATGGGATGGTGTCCCGCTGCATCCCGACTCACTTCAAGCACTGTATATATATATATATATGTATATATATATATATATATATATATATATATATATATATATATATATATATATATACATATATATATATACATACATATATATATATATATGTATGTATATATATATATATATATCCCGACTCACTTCAAGCACTGTATATATATATATATATATATATATATATATATTATATATATATATATATATATATATATATTTATATATATATATATATATATATATATATATATATATATACATATATATATATATACATACATATATATATATATATATATGTATGTATATATATATATATATATTTATATATATATATATATATATATATATATATATATATGTATATATATACAGTGCTCAAAGTGGAGAAAAAAAATAATGGGGTGGTATTCAGTAATTAATAAATACCATCCGGCCTAATCATTGTTATATATATAGATTTGTAAAAAGGTGGTGAGATTGTTTATACTTTATAAATAAGTGATGGGATGGTGTCCCGCTGCATCCCGACTCACTTCAAGCACTGTATATATATATATATATATATATATATATATATATATATATATATATATATATATATATATATAATATATATATATAATATATATTATATATATGCATGTGTATTATATATATTTTAACAATAACATACTTATCTTAAATTGCCTAGATATTCTTTGATTGATCAAGAGTGTCTACTAAAAAAGTGTGACGACTGGAAAAAATGCGATCCTTCCATAAACGTGTTTCTCCGACCGAAGTCCGAAACCATAAGCAATGTCAGTGAAACGTTTCTTTTTGTTTATCAGTCACTCTGGCAACAAGAACTTCTTCTACGTTATGGAAATGAAATAGTGCTTCTTGATGCTACCTATCGAACTACAAGGTATTCTCTTCCTTTATTTTTTTTAGTAGTGAAGACTAATGTCGATTACCAAGTTATAGCTACTTTTGTAATCGAAAACGAAACAAAGAAGTCTATCACAGAAGCATTAAATATAATAAAGCATTGGAACACATCATTTAACCCTGCTTTTTGTATGACTGATTATTGCAATGAAGAAATAGAATCCTTGCAATCTATTTTTCCAGGTAAAAGGTTTATATTTGTCCAGAATCTCTGTTCAAATTAATATTTTTTTAGTAACTGCTTAAAAATTTTACTTAATAAAAATAAATTACAACTTATTGCCTAATAACTTTATGAATAGTGCTGATTATTCTTTAGCTTGTCGAGTTATCATATGCGATTTTCATAGAGAGCAAGCATGGGATCGCTGGCTTTCCAAAATCAAAAATGGCTGTTCTGAATTTAAAGGCAGCATAATTTCATTGTTGCGTTGTGTTGCCACAGCACAAACTGAAGATCACGCAAAAGCTGCTATTGAGTCACTACATTCCTCAAACTTTTGGGTAGAAGAAAAATTTGATAAATTTAAGAAATATATTTCAAATTATTGGTTAAGTATTAAAGAAGTAATTATGTTATTTACCTTACTATTAATAAAGCTTAATAAATCTCTCTTTATGATCTCGATTGCAATATATATGTCGATTGTAATGTCATAACTTAATGATAACATTATTTTAATGTTATGTTTATATTATTCATAATTTTTTTACTTTTTATCTGAGTCTTTATGCATTATTTTTTTTCACAATAATGTTTCTTTTCTTATGTAGACAATTTTAATTGATACACTTATTTTATTTTGCCTAGAAATGGATATGGGCTTATCGTCGTGATCGATTGTTAGTAAATTTAAATACTAACAATGGGATTGAACGACAAAACGAATCATTCAAATACTCTTTTCTTCAACGACATAAAAACTCTTCTATTACTGGCATGCTAACTGTGCTAATTGAAGAATTCTTTCCAGATAAATTAGAACAGTAAGTATTTAATTGTCAATTATAACTGTTCTCAACTTCAATGCAATTGAAAAAATATATTTTTTTTGTTTATACACTTTAGTTATTCAGAGTCCAATTTCAAAATGAATTGTCAATACAGACGTTATAGTAACAACATCCCTGAATACTTACATAATAGGTCACATCATTTTGTTAAGCATTGTTTGCAGAAAATTGATTTGGCTAACAAAACTGACTTAGATGTAGTATTATTAAACGATCATGGATTGTTTAAAGTCAATAGCTTTTCAGATAAAAATAAAAACTACATTGTTTACTTTGGAGATAAAGATACAATGCCAAAATGTACCTGTGTTGCCTGGTCGCAATCAGCCTACCTGTGCAAGCATTTTTTCCTTATATTTAGAAAATATCCACAGGCTTGGTCTTGGCAATCATTATCATCTTTATATAGGGAATCCCCTTTTCTTAATATTGACATTAAAAATGACTTGATATTAAAGGAACCATTCATATACAAATGCAATCATGTAAAAAATAATGTTAATGAAAATGATATTACTGACAATAATACTAACTCTATCCTTTCAACCCCTGATACAGTATCTTTAAAACCTTCTGATGAAATTAATTGTAAAAGGGCTTTTGCTGTTTCAGAAGTACGTGAAATGCTAGCAACAATTAAAACTCTGACATATGATTTTGATGAAGCATCTGAAGAAATTAGCGATTTACATAAAAAACTATCAGATATTCTTGAAACTCTATATCGAGCAAGAAAAAAAGAAAAAGGTCTACCTGTTAGGGATAAAAAAGCCAATGACTACATACCCAATAATCTATCAAAAGTAGTTGAAATACCTAGTCTTAAAAAAAAAAAAGTTTCTCACAGGTTAGGAAAAAAAAAAGATTTATTGCTCTCATCATGTAGCATCAAAGCTGATTGTGCTGTTCAAGAACCACAAATACAAGAGTTTGTTATTACTGATGATATAATAGCAGGGCAATCAACTTTTATAACTGATTTGTTAGATTCAACAATTACAGAGACCTTTTTAACTGATGGTGATAAACAGAAGGTAACATCAATTCCTATGCCTATAGCTAAAGATTTAGAAGATTTATCAAATATTGAAAATGTTTTATCTGGTGATGATAACATAAAAGTTACTTCAAGTCATACACTAGGAACTAAGGATATAGAAGATATTTTAAGTAACAGAATGTTGTCTGATAGTGTTATTCAATATTTTCAAAATTTGATTAAAAAAGTTCATCCATCTGCAAATGGGTTGCAAGATCCAATACTTGGACAAAAACTTTTTTTTAAGGTTCAAGGTTCTCAACCATTTGTTCAGGTTTTGTTTAATGGACATCATCACTGGCTTGCTGTTAGCACATATGGTTGCAAATATGGAGAAGTGTATGTACTTGACAGCAATTTTCAAGGATCTTTATCATTAGATACTCAGAGGCAAATATGTTATCTTTTAAGTTATAACAAGTCAGCAATTAAAGTAAATGTGTTACCAGTTCATCAACAAGAAGGAAATGTTGATTGTGGTTTGTTTTCATTAGCTTTTGTAGAGTATATTTTATCGAACAATAAAAATCCAGTCGATGATGTTTGGTTCAACCAAAGAAAATTTAGATCTCATGTTCTTGAATGCCTGCAAAAAAATGTGATGAGACCTTTTCCACTTTCAAATTCTGCAAAACATAGATGTAATGCAAAACAATTTTCTTTAAAGCTATACTGTTCTTGTAGAATGGTTTGGACACCATCAGATGGCACAATATATGGAAAGTTAGTTTTTTAAAATATATATGAGTGCATAAAATAATATATAAAGATATATATTATATGTATATATATGTATATATATATATATATATATATATATATATACATATATATATATATACATATATATATATATATATATATATATATATATATATATATATATATATATATATATATATATATATATTGTATATATATATATATATATCCTATATGCAATGCGATGCGATGGCATCCCGCCTCACTAGAGGACATAAGTCCTCTAGTGAGGCGGGATGCCATCGCATCAATTTTTTATTAGATATAAAGCATCTTTTTTTCATCCACCTCGTGCACATATATATTTATATATAATATATATATATATATATATATATATATATATATATATATATATATATATATATATATATATATATATATATATATATATATATATATATATATATATATATATATATACAGAAGTTCTTTTCTAGGCAAATGGCTCAATGTTGGAATTGTCGAAATTGGTTTCATCGAGATTGTGAAAAAATTCAGCAGAGTTGTTTTGATAATAAAAATGAAATTTGGAAATGTCATGATTGCTACAGAGAATTTGCAAATAACTAATGACTTGGTAAATAAGATTATAGTTACACGAAACTTCTTTAAAGATCTTTACTAGAATTAGGTTGAGTTCTACACAAAATTTAATGTACTGATTAGTTATTATTAGGATTTTATGTTATATTTAGACCATATTAAATTCTTACTATTACCTTTTTAAATTTTTAAATTTCAGCAAAGAAATCAAAGGCCATTTTCCAGTTCTGGGGGAGAAAAATAAACAAATGATAAATGATGCTACTTCAAAAAACGGTTATTTTCATAGCCACATTTGTTTAAAAACATTATAGCAGCTGAACATTTGTTAATTTCTAAAAGTGCTTAAGGATAGTAACATCAAAGACGTTAAGTTTAATTTTTTTATCAGTTAATAATAAGGTAAATTTTTATACATTTTATGTATATTAAATGATATATTTTATTAAATGCTTTTCACAGCAAATACATTGATTGTCTTAAGAAGGCAAAAAGATAACGTTGTGTAAGTTTTTTATAAGGTTATAATTTTTTATTATATATTTGTAATATTTTCAGTAATACTGTTATTTTTTTATTTTTTTCCTAATTTATCTTTGTTAAACTAACTTTGACTTTCAATGCAACAAAGTATCCTGTGAATTCAACTCACTTTCCGTTAAATTTACGGTAAGTTTCATTCGTGTTGGGTAAAGTGACTAAATTTAAGTCAATTACCACGTTCCATTTTCAATATAAATTCTTGAAATGTAATACCTGTGGCATGTAAGATATTTATGTTAATAGGTTTTCATCATTTAATATAAATTTTAATTTAAATTAATATAAATCATTTAATATAAATATTTCTAACAGCGTATGATTGTCTTAAAGACCTATTTGTTAACATCTTTTTAGGAAAAATTGCAAAAACGTGGCTTCTTTTTTAGAAAAAAAATTGTAAAGAGGTGCCATAGTTAGGTCATTTTAATCTAAGTGGTTGTCCATTAATTACGTCAACAAATATTTGGCAATTTTTACCTCCCCCTCTCCCTTTTGTCAAACTTTCAGTGACCTCCCATAAAATTACGCCAACATTTGATGAAACCCCCTCCCCCTTCCAAAAAAAATAATACAAAACAAAAAATTATTTTTTTTAAATTAAATAGTTTACAACTGAAACAAAAAAATGGTTAAAAGTAAAATATTTAGAGAACAAAATGTAGAAGAAGTTAGGGTACAGTGGATCAAGGGGCACAGTGAATAAGAGGCATTTTCTCCAAGACTAGATTTTTGTTTATCTTGACAATGTAATTATTTCATGAGCTCATTTATAAGCCACCTTTATTTATAGTTGTTTACACAAAATTTTTGACTACCGATTTTTGGTAGTAAATTTTTGTTTTTAGCTTACAAAAGTATATATTTTTACCCTCCTCCGGTTGATATAATTTTAAAAGTTGATGTTTTTCATTCGAAATATTGATAATTGTGCTTCCTTTTATTAGTTTAGCTTTTCCTTTAAACTTTAATATCATTTGAAATATTTTATAAAATTGCGTTTCCTAAAAAGTGCGGAAAAGGTAACTTTTTTGAGTAAGAAATAATAGCTCACTTGAATGTGACTTTCATTCACTTCTGTATGTTATGTAAAAATTGAAATTCGTAAGGCTAAAATTCAACCCTTCGCATTTTAACCCAACAAAGGCTTTGATTCCGTTCGGACCCGCCCAATAACTACTCCCCAACCGCCCAAAAACTAATTTTTCTAATTTAAAAATGTCTTTATTGGTGATATTTTCTCTCTTTCTTACATAAAAATAACTGACATTTTAAATTCTGCATTATTTTATCGAAATTTATATTTTATGATTCAACACCTATAAAATGTTAAAAAATATCTTTTCAATCAATATAACTTAAAATCTTCCACAGTTTAAATAAAGGGATCCGTAATTCGCGTGAACTTCCTTTAAATGTTCTTTTGCAGTGCTCTGTGAATGATGCTTTGTGGGGGCAAAAAAAAAAAAAAAAAATCAATATACTAGTATATTGATATTATCGATATGCTTGTTTATTGATTTAATTCACATTACAAAAAAAAAAAATGTGTTTTCTGCTATAAATACTCTTCTCATAGCAAACCCTTACTTTACGTTGAATCTTCTGTAGACACCACATTTAGAAGTGCATGTAAATATTTTTGGAATTTCATATTATATGAAATTTTTTTTTGTCTGAGAAATTGATAAAAACTCCTATGTCGTGATATAAAAACTATGCTACACAAATTAGTGGACGCGAATAGTCTACTTTAGTTCCAAAAAAATTTAGATGGACTTCTAAATCTGGCATCTACAGGAAATTCAGCGTAATATAAAGGTTTGCAATAATAGTATTATCATTTGTAGAAAATGCGTTGTTTTTTTTTGTATAAGCATGTTGTTAAAAAAAAGATATGAATATGTAAACATCTTCCTGAACAAGTTAAGATACTTCTAAATACAGATTTTTTCGGGCATTTCCATTATTTTTTGAAATCTCAAACGTGCATAAAAACCATTTAATGAAGTTATTGTATCGCAAACAAAGATTTTTATGCATAAATGTAAATCTATATTATGCAATAAAAAAAGTTTTCTTCACCCAAACAAAATATTTTGGCGAAAAAGATATATTTACGTGATTACAGTTTAATTTCTTGATAAACATTGTATCAAACTTAAAAAGATTACATAAGCCTCTATATAAAGTTTAGACCCATGACTCATTTAAAAAAGAAATCTATGTTTACTTTTAAGAACTCTGTTATTTTACGTACTATTTGGAGTTTATGTAGATTTTTCGTAATCAACAAAAACTCCCTTGGAATAATCATGTACAAAAATATATAAAAAGCAAAATAACGACATATTTACACTAAACGCTATTAAACTATAATAGCGTTTACAAATTAGCTATTAACAACTTCATTAAAACATTGAAACCCAGATAAGTCTTGCCAATATCACGCGTTTTCCATGAAACAGTAAATGCTATATTCGACACCACCATCCGCCTTAAAAATACTTTAGGGAACTTAATAAAAATGTCTGCACTAAACATTCATTAACGGATGGGTAATTACGGTTCATTAACGGATGGTCCTATTGCAACAACAAAAAAAACACCACACGCTACTAATTAAAAGATAAGTAGTATAGCGTGGCTCTTTTTGAAAAAAATTATTATTAATATCTTAAAAACGTCATTTAATTGTTTTTTATTATTATTTATTAAAACTCATGTCTAAATATCCATATAAATATTTATTTAAAACATGATATTAATATTTGTTTTAAAAAATCTACAAATTTTTTGTTGAGGATCGTTGTCACCATCCTCTTCAATTCTTCTAACTATTGTTATTTTTCTCTTCATTGATTGAAACATCAGTCATTTACATACCTCACCACATTTGACCACCATAGCGATCTCTTGCCTTTTTTTTTTCGCATCGTTGATCCTAGAAAAAGTTGACACTATAAATATAATAAAATAATCACTTAAAATTACTTTATGGAGATTCCATGTGAAAACATCCAATTTTTTTTGAAAATGCAACCCTAAGTCTCAGATTTTGCTGATTTTTACACCACTCAAAGATTTTAATAAATTATGAACATTCCCAAAATTTTATCATCTAATTCCAAACGGTTCCAAAGATATGACTATTCAAACTTTGCCTTGAACCAACAAAATTCCGCCATTTTAAAAAATGGTTTTGGTCTTTGTTTCTGTTCTGTATACAATGGAAAGCTGAAAATATGTATGCTAACATATTTTGAGGCAAGGAGTCCAATAAAACAACTTAAAATTTTTAAAAATAAACAGAACACCTGTAATTTTGACCTTTATCACAATTTTACTAGGGCGAGTTTAATTACAAAAATGCTGATGTAGCTTGATTTTTTTTTTTTCTTTTTTTTTAGATGTCATCCTGAATAGTTTAGTTAGAGTTGTTACAAAGAATTGGAAAGTGGTCTTTTCTTGAAATGGAAAAAAAACACGGTCAAATTTACTTAAATTTGTTACATATAAAACAGGAATTATAAAAAATCAGAGGAAAAAAAAGGTTGAACTCTTATGGGCCTTATGCACAGAAGTTGGTATTTAATAATTTTCTGGAAATGTTATTGTTGTTAAACCAATCACTGCGAGTGATTGCTTTAACAACAATAACAATAATCTGCTTCTACTCATAGTGCTTATAGTTCGACTGACTGCTAATTGTACAAAAATGTTAAGAGTAGATTTGAATCAAACATTTTTGAGCAGTTAAAACTTATGTTTGCCATGACTTCCAGTCCTGTTGATATTTTTCAGCAGTTCAAGTGCCAGTAATTTGCATCAGATCTGAGACATAGATATCCCATCTCCAAGCTTCATTTATAAATATTTTATCTCATTCATATTGTATTCTTTTGTCAAAAGATGTTCCTTTTGGCAATCAAACACATCATAGCTACAAGGCCGGCGCAAAGGAGGGTGTGTGTGCGTGGGGAGGGAGGGGTGTAACACTTGACATTGACATTGACAAGTGTCAATGATTTTTAGCGGGCATATTTGACATCAATGATTTTTAGTTGGCAAATTACTTTTCGACTAGTCTGCAAATGTCAACCCTTTAGATATAGGTTAGTCAGTAGTTAAGACAGTTAGTCGGCAAATGTCATGGCAGACAGAAAATTTTCAAAAATGAGGACCTATTTTTTTTTTTTTAGTCGGGGCAAAAGTGATAATGGCATCCCCCCATGTGACACCTACTCACGCCGGCCCTACATAGCTATACTCACATAATCAGAGTGTAAACATCATAACTGCAGAAAAGACATGAAAAACTTAATTGCTGCAATTATAATAATTATAATATATCCCAATCAACAGGATCACATATAATCTTTAACTGTCGTTATTCAAGATTAGTCAAATTATAATGGATTGAAGTCAATTCATGCTATGAATGCATACATTTTGCATGTATGCATTCATAAAATGAAGGAAAACTGTCCTGCCATAATAATTAAAATAAAAGTCACTAAAAGTTTTAGTCTAAAACATAAAAAATCATAAATTATGATAAATCAATAAACAACATCAGATAAAATAAAAATAAACAACATCAGATAAAATAAAAATATTCTTTGCAATTAGACTAAAATATAGCACAAATATTAAAATAAAAAAGAAATTAGTTAGCATTTATTTAATAAATTGAATTTATTAAAGAGGAACACAAAAACAAGAAAATTAATAACTAAAGACTTAAAAATACATAAAGCTGTTTTAAAAATTATTTTTTGAAATTATAGCAAAACTATGAGTTAATAAACGTACATTACATACATTTAACAATGCTTTTAAACACTTTTTTCACTTAAACTCTAAAAGTGTAGGAAAAAAAAGTTTTCTTAGAAACAACACATTTCATTGACAAAATTAAAAATTACCTTAAGTGCAAACAGCAAAATTTTGGAGTTTTGAGCTTTCTTGACAGTTTATTGCTTTTTTAACTATACGCTTTGAATCTTTGGTTTTTGTAAACATGCTATAGATGGATGGTATATTCCTGATAACACAGATTTGACAATTTTTGTAGCATACACATTTTTTCCCTTCTGTAAGGTGTTGAGTTTTATTTTTAAAAAGGGGAGCAGAAAGGGAGATCCAAGGTTTGTGACAAACAATGCGTACAAATTGCGAATGTATTACATAAAACCTCTCTAGTTGTGACTTGGATTTTCATTAAAATACAATGTTTTGATTGAAATACATTTATTGAAGATTTTCACATCAGTTACAATGATATTAAACAAAAGAAACCCTAACTTTACTGAATAAACTGGAAGGATAAGGTCCTTATTGCTTCTGGATTTCTATTATTATTTAAATCCAGAAAAATCCTAAAGCAACAATAATAAAAGCCAATAACGAAATTTGAGCCATACAATACTTTAAATATATTATTATAAAAACTATTACAATATAATATAAACTAAAAACATAAACTATGTTGTAATGTTTTTATAATAACATATTTAAAGTATAGTATAGCTCAAATTTTGTTATTGGCTTTTATTATTGTTGCTTCTGACTATATACTAGTATAGACTATATTATAGTCTATACTATAAAATTGATAGATAATTATAGATAAAATAGATATTATAAAATAGATATTAACATATTAAATTCAACATAGAATAAAAATGGAAAAAGCGACGGTACTAGCTTTTTTAAAAAAAACGTTATTAGTACTTGTAACTTAAATTTATAAAACATCCCTATGACTTAGTACGTAAAGTCCGCTAAAGCGACAATATTTAAAAATAAAAAATAATCCGGTATCCGAAAAATACGGCCTAATTCTGAGGGATGTTAAAGTCTGCTAACCTACTTTCGCTTTTATATGTTTTTGTTTACTGTGCACCTTCGGAAGAATGAGAACAAGTAATTTCTGGAACCAAAACATAAACAAAGCGCTTTTGTTTGCTTCCAGACTATATATTTCTTATGACTATGCTTCCATTTCAGCGCGCGCATAAATTTTATATCAACAATGATTGAAATAATGACGTTGAAATAACGTTAAATCAACGTTTAAACTGTAACGTTGATTTAACGTTGAAATAACGTTAAATAATCAACGTTTAAACGGTAACGTTGATTTAACGTTGTGACATAGTTGAACAACGTTGAAACAACGCTTCAACCGAATTTCAACGTTGAAACAACGTAATAATGCCGGCTGGGACTGATAACTCAGCGCGTTTCGCTTTTCCAATTTGCATTGCAATGTTTATTTGGTTTTACTTTAGGGCAAGATTGAATACTCTTGTTTTTCAAAAAGATTGACCTTTGTAAACTAAATTAGTAATTCAAAAAATATAAAATAAAATAAAAACGTTTAGAAGGGGACAAAAATACCTACACACTACGTATAAATATCTATTTAATTTTGAGAAAAGACATTTATAGTAGAATTCTAAATTTTTAGTTATAGGCATTTAATACTTGTGTCACGGAAGGAATAATAGATTCTTTCCGTGGCACAAGTTTAATGGCTATAACAAAAAATTTAATATTTCACATGCAATTTCTTTACCTGAAACTAAATAGGACTTTATAGGTAGCATGTTAGGTATTATTGCCCCCTTTTAAACACTTTTTTTTTTTTTTTTTTAATTTTTAATTTAGTTTAAGGTCATTTCTTTTGAAAAAAAAAGACTTTTCAATCTTGCCCTTAATTCAGATGTCAAACAGTTTCACAAACAAAAATCGAAACAATAAAAGTTACATAATTTCATTCCATAATTTCATTCCATTTTTTTTAATCAAAACTTTTTTAACTTAGCAGTTTTTACTTACGCTCTTATATCAATAACACCACTTAAATTGAATTGCGACTTTATTCATAAAAACGACTTCAGTTTCTAGAAAGATATAATGAAAATTCTCAAGCATTATGAAAAATAAGTATTTATGCTAATGGACGCAACAAGAATGAGGCAAAGTGTGCAATATGTGATAGTGATTTGTGCGTCGCACAAATCACTGTCACATATTGCACACTTTGTTAGTATACTTTGTTATTTATTCTCACCCGATGTCAGTACAGTGGCTAGAGGGTCTGAGTCTCATCCCCCATTATAAAAAAGGTCATTAGTGCCCAAAAATCTTTAAAATCTTCCTATATTAGATATTACTAAAATTAAGTACTCCTTTGTCCTTCTTTAGGTTTTTCTAAATCCTCCTCTAGGCGGCCGTATATCTGGCAACCCTACCTTTAAGAGAAGTAATTCAGAAAATTTTAAAGGCTTTACTAAAATATATTTAAAAAAAAATTAAAATATTTCAGTTGGTCCCTTAACATTATTTTTGTGTTTGTTGGTTACGGGGAGAGAAAAACCATACAACATACAACCATACAGTCGGAGACTTTTACGGTGAACTGGCTTCGTTCCCTATGTCTCTTTTCAAATATTTTTTGAATTGTTTAATTCACAAAGTTTACCAAACTGCTCAACCTGCCCCAACAGAATAAGTTGAGCAACTGATTGGAACAGGTTGAGCAATCAACGAATAAATAAATATGCATGATATGGAACTTGAATAAATGATCAATAAAATCTTTAACTGTAATTTCTATAATTTATAAACTTTTTATTTTACACACTTTAATAACGCAGGTAAGTGAAGAGAAAAAACTAAATACACGAAAACTATTTTTTTAGTATATAAGTTTTTTGCTAATGCAAAATAATAATTTATTTGAAATATAGAACTTAAATGAAAAGAAAGAAATTTAACCGTGTATTCTAGTTTTTCAGACGCAGTTTCTACTATCATCGCACTTAAAGTCGCAATTTTTCAGAACAGGACCCGTCACAACCTTTTTTGATGACACCAATAGTCTTAGTCTCTTATTAGTTGACTTTATAGATAAAATATATTTAACAAGTATGACAGGGAAGCAGAGTTGCATGACTAATATAACATTGAAGAGATTCTTGACAGTAATGCAGAAATTGTAAACAATATTCTTTTTGTACTCGAGTTAACAGATTGCGATTAACATACCCAATTTTCAATTTTCAGAAAGCTAGAAGCCAAAAATTTGTGCACTGCAGCAAATGTTTTTTACGATGATGATAAATGCGTGATAAGAATGGAAATGTCTCAATGGGGTAGGGAAGTAGGGGTTTCCTCGCACCCCCCCTATCCATTATAAGGGGATATGCATACTATGCATCCAGAGCCGTCCTGAAGAGGTTTCTTATGGGGAAGGAGGGAGGTGGTATATTTTTTTTGCCAAAAAGAGAAACACACATAAAAAAAAAGGTCCTTGATATTTGACACTTGTCAACTATACTTCAAAAATTGCTAGCTCAAATACTAAATGCGCCAACTCAAATGCATGTATAAGAGCTTGGGGGAGGGGGGAAGGTCATCCTCGTTCAGGACGGCCCTGTATGCATCCCTACACCAGAATCTGAAAGTCCTAAAATATCTTGAAATATGAAGGACCTTTTTTTTTAAGAGACGCAATGTGATACATAATACAAAAATATTTCAACATCCCCCCTTCCCCCCTCCTTTCTCATCAAAAATTCCTGGATCCGTCACTGATTGCTTTCAGTCTGGTTTGTTTAGCAACAACGTAAAACTATCTCGCCATATTTTGTTAAAGTTGTTTTTAACATTAAAAATATAAAACTCGTTTAAGATAAAACGTGTTTTATTGCCAGTCATATAATAAAGGTAATGTACAAACATAAAAACAAATCAACCAATCAATGACAGGCTCAAGGCCTAAGATATTAGTTATACAGTAAAATAAAAAGAGTGAAGTAGTTATAATGCACTAAATTTAAACAAAAAAGGTGTTATAACTGATTTATACATCAATGGAGACTACAAGAACATGTCCTAGTTTATAAAAGATTTTGTAATATGGTTCCCACTGTTACGCAACATTAATATATATATATATATATATATATATATATATATATATATATATATATATATATATATATATATATATATATATATATATATATATATATATATATATAATATATAAAAAAAGCTTTACCTTGATTTATTATTGTTATTAGCTATATTTGTTATTTGCTATAGTTGTTAGCTATATTATATACATCACGATGTTTCACTAAAAATAAGATAAGTGTTTTTACTAATTTATTATTGCTCTGTTCTTCGAGAACATTGGGCACTCTATTTATAGAATACACTTACATAATTTACATATATATTATATATTTTATATATATATATATATATATATATATATATATATATATATATATATATATATATATATATATATATATATATATATATGTATATATATATATATATATATATATATATATGTATATGTATATATATATATATATATATATATATATATATAAATGTATATATATATATATATATATATATATATATATATATATATATATATATATATATATATATATATATATATATATATATATATATATGTATATATATATAGATATATATATATATATATATATATATATATATATATATATATATATATATATATATATATATATATATATATATATATATATATATATATATGTATATATATATATATATATATATATATATATATATATATATATATATATATATATATATATATATATATAATATATATATGTAAATTATGTAAGTGTATTCTATAAATAGAGTGCTCAATGTTCTCGAAGAACAGAGCAATAATAAATTAGTAAAAACACTTATTTTATTTTTAGTGAAACATCGTGATGTATATAATATAGCTAACAACTATAGCAAATAACAAATATAGCTAATAACAATAATAAATCAAGGTAAAGCTTTTTTTATCAACAATCACAAAAAATTTTAATTTTTAAAAACAAAAAAAGAACCAACTATGGAATTTAGTTGAAAAATTAAACAAAAAATTGTTTGGATTAAATTAAAAGACATATATTTGAAACACTTTTTATTTTAATCCTTTACTTGAAAAACTTCGTTCTGAAAAATAACAGATTATGCTAATAGGTGAATTCTTTTTTTTTCTTTACAATATTTGCTTTTAAAAACAATATTAAAAAAAAAAATCTTTCCCATAATTTCTTTAAAATATATTGAAATCAAAATGGACTCAAATCTATCCTTTTCCTCTCATCTTAAAAGCTTAGCAGTGAAACTGTAGATCAAATGGGATAGTCTCCAAAATTCATGATTATGTCAATTATAAACTCTACTCAATATATACTATGTAATTTTCAGATCACATCTCAGATATTCTGGGCAAAAAAGCCAGTTACTTGCTTTTTTAAGATTGTCTAACTTGCAAAACAAGACTTTGAAAGGCTTGTTATACTTTCAAAAATAAGATTCTAATTCTGACATTTTTTACTTTCTATCCAAAATATTCATAGTTTCTATCCAAAATATTCATAGATTTTGTTTATCAATTAAATTGTGTATTTGTCTAAAATAGTTAAAAAGTAAATCTTCCTCTTTTATTTTCTAATTTTAAAACTAGGTTTTTGCATAATCTTTGATCTTTTAGTAACCTTAAATTATCTACTCAAAATTATTTTTTGGTAAATGAACAAATTCATAAAGCCATGTATTAATAAGAATGTTGGGCTTTATTATTATTATTATTATTATTATTATTATTATTATTACTATTATTATTATTTTTATTATTATTATTATTATTATTATTATTATTATGATATTACTATTTATGGTTAGTATATAAAATAGCATTTAGTTTGTATATATTATTTACATTTGACCATATTAAACTGAGTATTGTTTGTAATTTTTCTATTGTATTTCTTAAGTATTATGAAAGCATAGTTGTGTTTGTTTGTATTTTATTATTGTATTTGTTATTGCTTGTGGCTTGCCTCATCTTTTTATCATATAGCATTGGAATCGTATGATAACTTTTGCAACCATTAAAACAACTTAAATAAAATAACTTTATTATTAAAAATATGTTTAGAACATATTTTTAATAATAAAGTTACTTTATAAATTTTTTTTATAAATTTATAAATCTTCATGTGTCTACTTTAATTATCAAATGAGAATTCAAATATCAATTTCTTTGATAAAACTTTGAAAGAAAAAAAACAAAATAGGTTTTTATTTTGAAAATATACACTTAGTTCAGATTTTTGACAATTTTTTTTTTCTTTCAAAATCTTTGCTTCCAACAAAACTGCAAGCAACCACTATAAGAGTTGGAAGTTACTGGAAGAAAAAAGATGAAGTTTGTAAATTGCAAATTATATGAATCAGGAAAGTAAGATGAAGGAAGTGAATTCTAAAGAACTGATGTTTGAGGAAAAGAGTTAAAAAACTTAGGAACAGTCATAAAAGAAAATGAGACTAATTTGAATAACAAGAAACACAAGAATGAATTTTAGTAAATGGTACAAGAGACGCTAGCTCTTTAGAGCAGTGCCCATTATAGTATTTGTAAAAAAGAGAAAGAGAAGCAACATTATGAGGATGAGATAATGGTTGGAGGTTTACTGCATGAACAAGTCCAACTATGTTAACAATGCGTTTTTGCACATTGTCTAAAAGAGAAAAGGCATCATTAGAAGATCTGCCCCAGGTATACCAACAGTATTCCATACAAGGATGGATTTAAAATTTATAGAGATAAAGAATAAAATTCGATGAAGTGTCGAACATAATAAAGAGATGCAACCTTATCAGATGCTAATTTTGCGATGAATTTATATACAATTTCCAAGAAAGATTGGAAGTAAGAGTTAATCCTAGAAGAACTTAAATTATGTTTACTAATACATATGATTGATTAAATGCAAAAAAATCAAGAGTGGGTAAAGTTAATTTGGATAAAAGTGAACACACTACTCATAATACTTGATTTGATGCATAACTAATGTTATTGTTTTTGGTACAGGCAGCTATATTATTCTTTAAAATATGCCTACAGTAAAACATAGTTGTATTAAAATTTTGTAGCCTTACTTTTAAAACAGGTAAGTGACCTTGCAATAAACATATAAGGATCCAAAATAGATCTTAGTGCATTTTTTGTTGTAGCTTTAAAGGTGAGATATAGTTTTCACATTAAAATTATTCCACAAGTCTGCATCGTGTTAATAAATGCAAGACAGATTTTTGTTTAGGCGGCTATAAAACTGTCTAATAATTTTAATACAAGTTTACAAATCTTTTATCTCTTTGTTTGTATCTAAACATTTTAATAAATTAATTTTATTAAATCACAAAATGTTAACAAAATCCAATTAGCAACCTGCTAAGCTCAGTTTTAGTAAAATGTAACAAAAATTATATAATCATTCCCAAAAGTTTAAGGAGTGATTATATACAAATTTTGATTTACTATAAGCTAGTTCTATATCTGCGTAAGCAGTATTTAAGAATACATACATATATACATACATACATACATACATACATACATACATACATACATACATACATAAATACATACATACATACATGTATACATACATACATAAATACATACATGCATGCATGCATGCACATATAAAATCTAGTGCATCTTGAAATAGCTGTACTTTTACTACATACAGAGATTTAATATTTTACTTGATATAATAATGCCTTCTTAAACACAACTCTCTCACAAATTAGGAGATTTTGCTGAATGATAACTCATTCATATTATTTTTTCACTATAATGGAATCCAAGTGTTGGACAAGTATCATTGACAAGGTTGATAAAGGTAGGTTCATTAAAAGAGTTTTTAGGAAAGTTATTGACAAGGTCATGTTTCTAAGGTGTTATTGTTTTATAAAAGGTTTATTAAAAGCATTCTTCAGTGGTGTTTCAATATGATTTGTTTGATCAGAAACAAATCTTTTCCCAAAGCTTTATTAGGTTACTTGTGTTGTTTTCTAACTAGCTTAATAGATTTTATTATGGTATCATTATACTTTTTAGTTTTTCTTTGTTGCACTGCATTTCTCAAATAAGTATTGCTTTAAATGTTTACTGATGAAAGCTCAGAATGGAAAATCTTGGCAAACCAAAAGTTGAGAATAAATGTTTTGATAAACATTTAATTATAACTTGGTATAAATTATTAGGGCAGGGGGAAATGGAATCACAAACAAGAAACAAAAAAATTAATCAATTATGGTTAAAAACATTTTTATCAATATAATCTGTCACATCATTCTCAATGTTCTATTTGAGTTGATTAAAATCAATTGTACACTCATAATCTAATGGATATTTATTGTTTTTAATAAGAGAGGATTTTGTCAGGAAATTTAGAGATCGATTAAGAGTTGTATGAGAACACTCCAATGACAGGTTTTATTAATTTGGCATCATATATCAAATTTATTGTAGTCTTGTCAAGTAAGTGAAAGATTGTATGATAATAAAGGTTGATGAATGAAACTCACTCCTGCTGGTGTAAATTGAGAATAACTTGTTTTTACATAACTTGGCAAAGTGACCAACTTTCTCACATTTATAACAAGTCGACTCTCTAACAGGGCAAAAAACTTTGACATGTCTTTGGTTCTCACAATCTGCGATTAATTGTTTTGAATTTTTAGCTATTGCAGCTCTCTCTCTTTATATATATATATATATATATATATATATATATATATATATATATATATATATATATATATATATATATATATATATGTATATATATATATATATATATATATATATATATATATATATATATATATATATGTATATATATATATATATGTATATATATATATATATATATGTATATATATATATATATATATGTATATATATATATATATATATATATATATATATATATATGTATATATATATATATATATATATATATATATATATATAATATATATATATATATATATATATATATATATATATATATATATATATATATATATATCCATGTAATGTCTAATTATTAATTTATAATCTGATACTGATGTATATAAATAATTAAGATGCGTGTTTTGACTTTCTTAAAGCATTAGAAATATTCTGAAAAATAAATAAATGCTGCATATAGATATTAATTCTTAAATGAATTGTGTATATTAGGCCTTAATTGAATTGTGTATATTAGGCTTTTGAACAATTACAAAACTAAAGAAAATGAAATTTCAATATATTTTTATATTTTATAAGTTTGAATAAGTGGTAAACTAATAATGGTTAGCTCAGTTTCAAATGTTAAAATTACTTTGGCAAATGGTTATGAAGTTCCAGTTTTAGGATTAGGTACATGGAAAAGTTCTCCTGGAATTGTTGGAGCTGCAATTGAAGCTGCTATAGATCTTGGCTATCGTCATATTGACTGTGCAGCTATTTATGGTAATGAAAAAGAAATTGGAGATGCTCTGAAAAAAAAGATTAATGAGGTATGCAGTTAGTAATTATTAATGCATTATGAAATAATATGAAGATATGAAGCTTAAATTAATTTTTATATATTTATAAAGAAAATTTTTATTTGTTTCTTTTTATTTATCATGAATAACAATAGAACAACATTTAATTTTAAGTGATACATTTTTGTTTATTAAAAAATTGTTGACCAGGGCTGGATTGCATATTCATAATGGTCTCGAATTTATTTTTGTTGCATGAATATTTCTTCTTTTTTCTCAAGTGTTAAGTTTTAGCTCTTTCAAAAACGTTTTAAGAGGAGTTTTAGGTTTTTGACAAATAGCTCTAACACATTGCTTTTGTAAGACATCTAGTCTCTTTAGTAAATTATTTCGTAGAATAATTATATAAGGTATATTTTATCACTGGTATATCTTAAAATATTATATATATTTTAAGGTACGTTTTATCACTGTTATATTTTAATTGGCTCAGTAGTCAGTAAGTCCTTAAGAAGTTTCTTTAGAAGGCAGATAAAATTTGAATGAATGAATTAAATACTTTGATCTATTTTAGTTGCATACATTGCTTTTAAATAGTTGTAAAAAATAAATATTTTGTCTTCTTTTATATTTGTTTTCATTTTAAAATTATAAATGTTAAAAAAAAATTTGCTTAACAGTATCAAATTTTTAACAAAACTTTTTTTGACGGTTTCAACCATTATCTTGTAACTTTTTAAAAAGCTTAAAACAACTTTTTAATTGACAAATGTCTATAAAAACACTTAAAAAAATAAAAAAACACTATATTTTTATCATTAAATAAATTTTAATGTGTAAGTTTTAACCATATTTATAGTGATTTTAAATTGCATTATTTTTAAATATGATATATAAGGCTTTAAAATGTTGTCAGCGATAAGTAAAAAAACTAAATAAATTAATAGCTTTTAAATTAAAAAGTTTTTGATGATTCGATATGCCATTTTAGAATTAACTTAAATAAGCAACAGGGACAGAGTGAGGTTTCGTTCACTGCATAAGGACATCAATTAAATTTATTCACTGCATTTAAATTTCTAGTATACCAGGTATTTAATTTAAAAATACCAGGTATTTAATTTAAAAAAGTATGTATGTATAATAACAAGTATTAATTTACAAATATAAAATATGCAATGTAAATTTTGTATTTGTAAAAAAAAAAAAATTTTTGTATTTATAAATATTGTTTTTCTAAATAAAACTTTTCCATTTGTAAATATAATGGAAAAATATCATAAAAATCCTCTTTTATGTTTTACGCAAATATAACATAAATGATATGTTTCATTGCAAGTTTCTTCTTTGATTTTTTTTGTTGTTGTTATTTTTGGTGTACTTTACCAGCAAATTTAGTTTAATAAAACTTTATTTAATTCAGGAATTATATTAAAGGAATTATGTTATATACTATATTAAAGGATTTTAATATAAAAATGTTAATAACTTATTTTAAAGTATATTATTTATTTATATGCAATAGCTTTTGTAACTTTTCTAACTTTAGATAAACAGTAAAAATGTACATAAAAAGTTTTTGAATAATAAGAATAAATAAAAAACAGTAATTTATTAAATATATTGATAAATCTAAACTAGAGAAAAACTTTAATTAAAAAATAAAGTTTTTTTTTAACTTTTAAACGAATGATCTTGCTTGTTAATGACAACGCTTTTTTTCACATTAAAAAAAATTGATCAACTTAATTCATTTATTTGTTGTTACATCTAATTACATTTTCTATGTGTCTAATAAATCCTTAAGTCTGAGCCTGAGTCTTGCAAGGTAGTCACAAAGTTTTTCCTATAAACTGTTGTTTTAAAGAGCACATTAATAAGGCTGACCAGAAAACGTTAAAAAACTTCAAAAAAAAATTTTTTTTTGGAAGTTTAATGATAAAATGATAGACTGCCTGCCCAAACCAAACCCTCAGTCAATGTAGCAGCACTCCCTTTCGAGTCAGGCTATTTGTCAGTCGATGTAGCTGCACTCCCTTGTGAGTAAGGCTATTTGTCAGTTGATGTAGCAACACTCCTTTGCGAGTCAGGCTATTTGTCAGTCAATGTAGCAGCACTCTGTTGCGAGTCAGGCTATAAGATAGTCGATGTAGCAACACTCCCTTGTAGCAGCAGGTTATAAGATAGTCGATGTAGCAACACTTACGCATGTTTTAAAAATGTTTTTAAAAAAAAAAAAAACACCACTAATTAAAAAAAACTTTCTAGTCATTATTATTGCGGTTTTTTTAAAAAACAATAAAATTTAATGTACTTCCGCATTAATTTAATTGCTTTGACATTTCGATGACAATCAAATACAGCTTAAGAGACGAGTTAATAAAAATTGTAGTCAAAAGAGACTTTTTTTTACCATAAAAGTCTCTTTCGACTAAACTATAAGGATATATATAAATATAAATATATGTATATATATATATATATATATATATATATATATATATATATATATATATATATATATATATATATGTTTATATATCTACCACAAGCTTTTATTACCTCATATAATCTTTTTTTTTATACAAATTAACTTTACTTGATGCACTCATACACCCTCACGCTTAAACACTTTCTCTAAAATGACTTATTGTTGGACACATGTTTTATGTTTTAAATGCTTATTTTGGTCTCGTCCTATTTTCAACACTTCCATCTAATGGAAGTGTTAAATTAATTAAAGTTAGGCTCATCACTGAAAACAAATGATTCCCAGAGTAGCTCTGGTTTATAAATGTCATGCTTTGAACTTAGCTTTATTGACTTTGCTGATGTAGGTTTTTTAAATTGTACTTGATCATTATACCCAGCATTTTTCAAGGTTGTTCTTACTGTTTCAGCATCCATTTCTAAATTATAATCATTTTGTTGCATTCCAGCATGTTTTGGAGCATTATTTATGGACTGCCTTTGATTATTTAGAGAGTTGCTCAACAATGTAATGATTCAATTTTCTTGAAGTATGAGCCTTATCAGCAATTTTTATTGATATTGTTATTAATAAAATATATTGTGTAAAAGTTTTATTATTATTGTTTATTTAAAATTTTTATCAGGTAATAACTATATATGGATAGAATATATTACAGCATAAAAAAAATTATTTAAATTCTATTTCTTTTAATAAACAAGGGTTAAGTACAATATGCAAATTTTAAAAGTTAAGAAGCAGTACAAATATAGCAATGCAATATTAGAGTCTCAATCTGTAGTATTTGATAATACTAAAAAAAAAAGTAAAAAAACATTAAGTATTAAAAAATATTAAGTATTAAAAAATATATATATAGTATCAAAGTAAAAATATATAGTATTAAAAAATAGTGTTAAAAAAAAGAAGTTTTATTTGCCATATTATAACTGTAGTATACTGTTAAGGAAGTGGCATTATTAGTATCACTTTGTGTGTGTCATGTAATGTGTCTAATCCAGCATTTTTTATACAAGCATGTATGTAATCTATAATTATATTTATTATATATAGTATTTATTTAAAATATATAAAATTTATATATAAATAGTTTAACCCAGACTAATAATTCCTGCTGTACTGTTTTTTCAGCAAAAACTGAGCTTCAGTCATTTAGACAAATGTAAGACTATATATTGGACTGCATTCAAAATTTAAACAAAGAGTTTAATAAAATTTAATATCAAGTTTGATGAGAATCAAGGTTGACAAGAAAGGTTGAGAATAAAAGAAAAACAAGTAAAAACAAGTTTTTTTTTCTAGGGAGTTGTTAAAAGAGAAGAGTTGTTTATTACTTCAAAGTTATGGAACACTCGTCATGCAATTGACTTGGTTCGCCCATCTCTTTTACAAACACTTGCTGATCTGCAGCTAGATTACTTGGATCTTTATTTAATTCATTGGCCACATGCTTTTAAGTCAGGTGATGAAAAATTTCCTAGAGACAAAGATGGAAACTTGCTGTATGATGATGTTCATTATAATGATACATGGAAAGAGATGGAAAAAGCCGTTGATGATGGATTAGTTAAATCAATAGGTAATATATCAATAGTTAAAACTTTAGAATTAATAGTATTTTTATGTAATGTTTAAAAAATGTTAAAACATCATTTTCATGTGTTTGTTAAACATGTTTAGTGCACCCAACACTGGTATTATTTTCAATACTGGTATTTCGGTACTGCAAAATTTGATACTGATAATACCAGTATAAAACAGGTATTAAAACATAAAAAATTAAGTTATGATTCAAATATTAAATATTTGCAGTCGTTCAATAAATCTTTTATTAAACTTTAAAAATAAATTTTCCATCAAAATAACATATTTTTTCTATTTTGTCCTTTTTTCTTTGTAAAATATGCCTGTAAGAAATAAGTGCACAAAATATCATTCTCTATGGATAATTGCAATGTTGTGACATTATTTTCACTTATAAAATGTCCACACCCTAATCTCATTGCATATAATTTTTGATAAATTATTTAACTGCTTACTTAATTGTCGCACCAACATAGCTTTTAATTTAATAACTAAATCATTGTGTCCAAAGTTATTTATCATTACAAAAGTGTTGTGTTGGCTTGATTCTTCCATAGTTAATTTAACTGGTGCAAGATATGCCACAACAGTTAAAATTGTGTTGAACTGCTTATTAGTTATCTCAATTTTTGAGTCAATCAACGGGTTGCCATACAATGCTAATACATTTTTTCAATTTCACAAAACATTTGAGCCTTTTTTGCAATCTACTCTAGCAAATTTTGATGTTGAGCTTAAGTGGATGCGCTTTGTCAAATTTATCTACTGTGTCTTTTTGAATTATTTAATCATTTTTTGTTGAAGATAACTATTTTACAAGAATGTGCACTTTATGTTAACAGCTGCAAACCAGTCAGTTTACAGTCATGGCCAAAAGTTTGTTATTTTTCTTGATTACCTTAAACCCAATGTAAAAGTTTTTATCATCATCATTGCTTATTTTTGCATTTTTGTCACCATCATTTTCACTGCTATTCTTGTCATTGTGGTTTCTTTTAAGCTTTTTTTGACAGAAGTTAACAGTTTTTGTACAAAATGTCTTGTACACCTGATGGAATGTCACTACCAATTCAAAGTTATTGATCACTATTTCTTAAATGTCCCACTTTTTGCATTATGAAAGCTCTATCAAAGAGTAATGTATATAATATCTTCTTTGTAATACAACATAAGCTGCATCACTTTTTGATCTAATACAATGCAGCAGTTTTTTTGTTTGAACTTTTTAGTAATGAACCAACAGCTCTAGCTAATCTCTGAAATTCACATTCCATTTTGAATGTTTACATTTAAATATCTGTGATTTTTAATTGAAATTTAGTTATCAAAATTCAAGCTTAATTGCATTCCTTGCAAAACTTATAAGCTTCTTGCAGTGTTCTCAATTCAGCTGATGTGATAAATATACTAAAGAGCAGTCCATTAAGGGGAATTAATCTAGTAAAAATGGCATGTAATGATTGCATCTTGAAGTAATTTTTTATCAAGTTGATTTCTTGGTTTTTTTATCAAATTGATTTCTTGGATTATGCTTTGATGTGTATGAAGTCCACTGATACTAATATCATTTTTATTTTTTTGTTACATTTCGTCAAAAAAATCAACATGCAAAGTGTAAGAAACACTTTGCATGTTGATTTTTTTGACGCAAAAAATAAAATAATAGTTTTTAGTTTAACAGTCAGGCAAAACAATTCAAAGTCCTGCTACTGTTAAAAGTCTATTTTTTAAACAGGTAATGTGTTGTTGTTATTACATCTTTGAAACAAAGTTGGTGAAAGTTTCAAATATGTTTCATATATTTAATACCAAAATATAATTATTCTGGTATTGTTGTTACCAGAATTAGATGCTCTAATGATGTTAGTAAATTTATTTGTTTCTTAAATGTTATAAAAAAACTTAACAGTTATTGAAAGCTGAATTTAAAGGGAAAAAAAAGTAAAACCAAAAATTATATTCTTCTAGTTATTATTCTTCTTTCAATCACTTTTTATAATTAATAAACAAAAACCTGATCAACTTGAAATTAAATACTAAAGTTTAAAAATCACATTAACTCAAAAATACTGATTAAAAATTTTTTATTTTGATTGTCTTAATTATACTTACTTACCATATGTTTTATAACAGTATATTATTATTATTAATGAATTTTAATAAATGTTCATAAACTACTATAAGAGTTTAAGTTATTTTTAAGTTATAATTTTTTTTTGCATTTTTTTTATTAAATTCTTTTCATTCCAGGTTTATCAAACTTTAATAGCCAACAAATTGATGATGTTTGTACTCATGCTCGTGTGATGCCCCAAATGTTGCAAGTTGAATGTCATCCATACCTTACTCAAGAGCTACTTATTAAGCACTGTTCTGCAAAATCAATTACTGGTAAAATAGTTATCTGAGTCTTTTGTTTAAGTTTACAGTAATGTTTATTACAGTTATTATTAAATACAGTAATTATTAGTGGTGATACAAAATTTTTTTTTTTTAAAGAAGCAAAAGTATTGAAAATTAAAATACCTTATTAGAAGTAAAGTATTAGAAATACCTTATTAGGTTAATACCTTATTATAGCCAGTAAAAGACTTCTTTTCACAATAATCCATAGATTTTCTTCTAATTGGTATTAGGAGTGTTGTATATGGTATTTTTAGTAATTAATAGTATTAAATATTTTTGGTAACTAATAATATTAAAATAATATGACAGGACTCAATTTAACGGTCGAACATTGTCCGGCTAAAACCTTAGGTTGTCCTCTCAATTTACAAAGTAATCAGACATTTTGACCGACGGGAATTAAGTTCTACAAAATAAAGTTTGGACAGGAACGGCCTGCAATCAAACGCTTTTGCTGACCATGCAAATGATTTTTTTTGTTTACAAACTGACCATTACTGTTTTGATGATTTAAACGTTTTAGAAAACCTAAACTTTAAACTAGGAAAAAAATTTAAAAATAAAATCCTTATGAAAAATAAATTAGCTTTAGAATAAAACTAAAAAAACTTGAAGTAGAAATTACTTTTTGTTACTTTTTTTATTTGCATTTTAAAAATATTACTTAAAAACTGATCTTTTAATAAAAGTTACGCAAAATGCTTTTACAAATTACTTACTTTGATTGTTTAATCAATCAAATTTATCATTAAAAAGAAAAAAAGTTTATTTTTTTAATTTGTTAAAATTAAAAAAATAACGTTATCTTTTTAATTATTGTAATTTCAATAATTAAAAAGACAACATTTTTAATCATATTCTAATTTAATTAGTAAATCAAAATTAAAAAAAAAACTTTTAAACAATTTTTTGTAAAAATAGAAATAAAAAAAAAGCAATAAAATTATGGGATGTCTCAACTCAACTTATTTAAAGTAAAGTAACTTAAAAAAATAACCTTTTAAAAGATTTTTAGAATGACTTGGAAAATAATTTCAAATGTTTAAATTTATTATAAAAAATACATATCTAATTAAGAAAAAATTGAAATATAATATTTTATTTATACATAATGCCTTTATTTTTAAACAATCATTAAAATTAATTTTGTATTCGACTTTATTTAAAGCTTTTACGTAAAATAAAAAAAAAGATCAATAATTAAAAGTTATTTGTAATATAACAATTTTTTAAATTGCATATAAATTGTAAAAACATCAAAAAAAACATCAAAACAGCCGTTCTCAAATTGTAAAGATAAATTTTTTTTTTTTTAAAGTCTATCTAAAAAAACATGCAATATTGAATTTAAACTATTTTATAAAAAAACAAAAAATTACGATGAATTAATCTAAATAGTAAGAAAAGAAACTGCAACTTCACTAGATTACCGTTAAATAAACTGAATATCATGGCAAAGGTTATGATCGCATGATTCGGTTCCATAAACCGTAAAAATTTGATCAGACTGTCTGACCCAAACAGGTTTAGATTGGATATTTTGTCAGAGACTTTATAAAAAATTAAAATGAACTCTGTATGGTATTTTTTACAATACACACTTTCAACTTCTTATTTAATTTTCTAATAGTTACGGGCTACAGTCCATTAGGATCTAAAGACCGTCCATGGGCTAAGCCTGAAGACCCATTAGTTATTGAAGATCCTGAAATAACTAAACTTGCTGAGAAGTATAACAAAAGTAATGCACAGATTTTAATTCGCTGGCAACTGCAAAGAGGTCAGTGTGTCATCCCAAAGAGTGCTAATCCACAAAGAATAAAGGAAAATTCAGAGGTATTCTTTGAAGTTTCAGTTTAAAATGGTTTTATTAAATTATTGTGATAACAATGTATGTAATTGTATTATAATTAACTTTTTGTTTTTTATTATTTCATAACTGAATCCACCGATAGTACATTCAATTATTGAATAGAAAGTTTCTTTACTTAGACATATTAGCTCTAAATTTACCAGTAGTTACTAATAGGATTTCTAAACACTTCAATTTTTTTTTTTAAAAGCAGTTCAAAACTAAAAGATAATGTATATAAATGTATTTAGAGCACTATAAGATAGTCAATGTAGCTACACTCCGCGCATGTTTTACAGTAAAAAAAAATAAAAATAAAAACATTTAGAATGTTTTTATTTAAATAAAAAATAATAAAAATTTTTAGTATTTAAAAACATTGATAATGTTTAAAAACGTAATCAAAATAAAAACATAGGGACTAAAGTTTTGTTTGTAAACTATATGTAACTAAAAAAAACCCAGCAAGACAAACGTTTAATTTAAATTTAGATTAAGTAATTAAAATAAAAATCACAAAAACTTTAAAATTTAAATAAAATAATTACTTTAAAAACAACAAAACAAACACTTTATTTAAGTTGTAAATATAATAATTTAAGCATAATATATTGAATTATAATAATTCAATATATAATAATTCAAATATAATATTTGATAAACAAAAAAGATTAGTTGCAATTTTAAAAAAACCTCTTTCTTTTTGCGCTTTTTTATGCGCTCATCAGAGTTTTTGTGGGCGCGCGGCAAGTGCAAAAGTGCTGGTAAAACGGAGAAGACGGAGAATGACTAATAAGAAAAGGTGAATTAGGAAGGGTTACATTAAAATGGAGCAAAAGAAGGAGGCAGTAGAATCTTATGACTTAAAAATTTGAAATTACTATACTGTTTTAAACTTGGAGATTTGATTTTTTTTGTTGTTGGACTGCGACAAATCTTTCATATTTTTTTAACCAGACATTCAACTAAATTTTCAGTTTTTGTATCAATATCCTATAAAATTAAACAAGCATTTTAAAAATAATAATTTTTAAAATAATTATTTCAATATAATCTTTCAGTATTATTAGTTCTAGCTAATAATGTCATAGAAAAGGTGAGTAAATGTTGTTTACTCTTTTATTGATTTTGATCAGCAAAAAATTAGCAAGCTAATAAATTTCTATTTGCTCATTTTTAACTATGTTAAAAACAATAGTTTCAAATTAAGTAAGAGTATTTTTTCTTGATATTGTGTGATTTCTATATAATAAAAAAATTATAAAAATTTTTTTCTTTTAAAATAATAATATTTCAATTTCATATTATATTTTTTTTGTTTTGACAGCCTTTTAATTTTGTTTTCAAGACAATTTTTTAGCAATATAGTTTTGATTAAATTCTTTGACATTTTTTTACCTCAGGTGTTTGACTTTGAGTTAAGCAATGAAGAAATAGTGCTAATAAATTCATTAAACAAAGGTTGGAGGTGCTGTTTACCAATGATTGAGGTAAGAGGATAATGATAATATTAATGATGATGATGATGATGATGATGATGATGATGATGATGATGATGATGATGATGATGATGATGGTTGTGATATTATGATAATGATTTAGAACCCTTTTTTTTATATTTAGGTTAATGGAAAATCTGTGGAAAGAGATGCACACCATCCCCTTTATCCCTATAACATTCCTTATTGATAAAAAAAGCATTATGATATATCTACTATATGAAATACCATAAAAAACTTTTTGATTGATATTTTTTAAAAGAAATTATATTATATAACTTAAAATAATATAACTTACAAAAGAATTTTAAAATTTATTAGTTTTCTTTTCGTTTTATTGGTTCAAATAAATTATTTACAAATAATTATTTACAAATAAAATTATAATTGTAATTTATAATCAGTAAATTATTGACAAATCAGGTTTTTTGTTAATGCAGAATTAGTACAAGCTAAAAATATAAGCTCGTTGTTAGATTTGCATAATATAGACTAGTTGTAAGATTTGCATAATATAGACTTATTGTTAGATTTGCATAAAACAGCTAGTATAGAGGCTTTTTTTAGTGGGTAATTAGTATATAGGCTTTTAAATTAGCATTTATTTCAATAGCATCATGAATACTAAAAACGATTTTATGGGTAGAAAATTTAAAGAAAAATTAGAAAAAAAAAATTTTTTTTCTCATTTTTTTTCATTTGTATTATTTTTGTGTATTTTTTTTTTAGTTTTTTTTTCTTACAACTTTTATTTTTGTTTTGTTTTTTCATTTATTGTTACTTATTTGATTAGTTTTAAACCAGTGAACTAATTCTTACATACTTAATGGCTTCTGAACTAACTTATACCTAACCAATGAATCCAAACTAATTTTATAAAGTTGAAAATATTTTTTACAAATTTTTTTAAATAAAATGTTTTGAATAATAATAAATTATTACATTAAAAAAACACAAATTTTAAAAGAACACATTTTTAAAAAACAATACACTTTTTAAAAGAACACATTTTTTAAAGGAATACATTTTTTAAAGAACACATTTTATAAAGAACATATTTTATTGAAAGAACGCATTTTTTAAGTATTTCAATCTTTGTTGCAAATATGCTGCATTTTTTTTTTAGATTTACTGATTAATTTATATAAAATATATTTATTTTGTAATTGTTTTTAATATGTGTGAAGTCTGGAACCCAAGAAATAACTCTCCAACACAAACTTTATATTCATTGGCACGAGTTTTAGCAATTCAAAAACAACCATGGGAAAAGGTAAGGTCAAAAAACTTTTATTTTAACTTTTTTTTTAACTATAAATGCGTGTTTAGATTAGCAGTAGCTTCAGTATATACATTGATATCTTAGGAAAAAAAAATATTGCTGCATAAACTCTTAGTCCATCTAGCAGCAACTGAGGGGAGTATTCCCCACAGTTTATCAGCAAAAAGGAAAAAACTTACTTTTAGACCTATTGAGGGACTCATGAAGTGGCTCAATTATAAAAAAATATATAATAATTTCATTAGCAATATCAAGGTTGGACCCCTTATAAAAAGCAATTTTAGTTGAAATTTGAAATATTATTTTTACGGAATACGCTAGAATATAGGTTTCTGCATACTATAATAAAAGGAGACACTATACTTAAACTTTTTGTTAAATGTCTTCATAATATCAAAAATAACCATCATTATAATAATAGAAATAATGACTTTTATGTTTGCTTTTAATCACGTTTAATTAAAAAAATATGATTTGATTTTTACATTTTTCTCTATTTTAGGTGAATTCTAAAGTCATTTTAATAATTGAAAAAAATCTGGCCAGAACGAGATTTATATTTATGTAGTTTTTTACCTTCAAGATTGAAAGTGAAAGCATGTACCTCAGCATCATGGCTATATAATATATATTTTCTTTGTTTTATATTTTTACATTGAAGTTAAAGTTGAAATATTTACTGTATTTGGTATCCTATACTTTTTAAACATTTAAAAGTTTAAGAGCCTGAGACTATTCTCAGTATTTTTGATGAAAAAGGAACTTGTTTGTTGCCCATAATTGGATAGCAACTCTTTTTGTACCACAATATTCCTAAGTTTTTAGAAATCTTTACATAAGTGGTTACTGCAAATAAAATTAGGCAAGGCTACAGATATGTAGTCTAAAATAATTTTATTTTATTGCTTGTTGCACTTTAGTGTGAAGACTTGCTCAAAGTGGTGACTTTTTAATATAAACATAAAGAATATTTATTGGCTTTAGTAAATACATCGACTATCTTATAGCCTGCTGGTACAAAAGAGTGCTGCTACAAAGGAGTGCTACTACATCCATTATCTTATAGCCTGCTGCTACAAGGGAGTGTTGCTACATCGACTATCTCATAGCCTGTTTCTACAAGAAAGTGCTGCTACATTGACTGAGGATTTGGCATAGGGCAGCAATCTTTTTTCTTTTATTATTTAAATTAAAATTTCTAATGTTTAAAAACTCTCCACTAACTTAGCGACCTATAATTATTTTAGGTCGCTAAACTGTAACTTTACCTAAAACTACTATTTGTTAAGAATTTTGTACTTTTTTACCTAGGTTAACCTATAGTTTTTCATTGCCCTGTAGAACAATGAAAAATATATATACACAAGTATTTCTTTGATTTTAATTTTTTGCCGGGAAATTATGGTAATTTTCCAGGGTAACACGAAATATAAAATATAAAAAATTCTTGGGAAATCTCTGTGGGGTATTCCTGGAAAGAACCCTTTACACCAAAGAAATTAGTATAAAAAATTATCTTGACTTGAAAGTCAGACAAAACACCAAAACATTAAAAAACTTCTATTAATTTAAAGTATGGCTTATTAATTTGTTTTGTGATTCAAGTAGTTTGAAGTACTGGAGTAGCTGATTATTTTAAGTTTCATTTTTTATATGGTATAACATATTTTTTTATTTTCAGCTTGATTTAAAAGGTTAGAAAAAATAAAATGCTTGAAAAATAATAATGAATGATTAATAATGAACGAACATAATGAATTATCTAAATATTTCTTCTTTTTTTTTTACTTATTTCAAGATACAGGATATATCCTGAAAGATTGCTTTGCTATACTGGCTTTGCGCATAAAATAGTGTTTAATCTAAATTATTTACTTTGTTTAAACAGGTGCAAAAGCTGCTTTTATTTTGTCCCACCATTCCAATGTTAACAACTGAATCATTTGTCATTAATCGTTTTCAAAAAGATGCTATTTTATGCTTGAGTTTTTATCTTGTGGCATCTGATTTGGAGCACAGTTCAAAAATTCTCCCTTATATTAATGATGTTTTAAAAAGAAGTATGTCTATCAAATGGAACTTAACAAAAAATGTAATTTTTAATTACTTTATTATTTTACTTATATTAATGTGTATTTATTTTTCTTTTTTATTTGTGTATTGTGTATGTAGTTTATAGTTTATATTTTTTTAAATAGTTTAATTTTTTTAATGTTTATGTTACAATTTTTTTCATTGTGATCCATTGTATGTTTGATCCATTTTGTGTTTGATCCATTGTATGCTTGATCCATTGTGTGTTTGATTCATTGTATGTTTGATCCATTGTGTGTTTAATGAATTTGATTCGTTTTGTACTTCATAGATTATGTGTTTAATCAATTGTGTGCTTGCTGGATTATTTATTTGGTTTAAAATGTGTTTAATACATTGTTTGACCTGCTCTCTTCTGCTGACATGTTGACTAATACCCAATATTTATATAGAATTTATATTTCAATATATATAGAATATATATTTCAATATATAAAATTTATATTTCAATATATATAGAATTTATATTTCAGGTATCTAGAAATAACTACTGTCTATATTGATGTTTTATTTTTTTATTTTCAATTTTATTTTTTCAGAATACTGATATAGTACATGAAATAGAAGATTTTATATATCATTTGACAATAACATTAATGCATGCAGAGGAAGATGTATCTAAGCATGTAAAACTTTTAATGGCTATAATTGATGAAGTCACATCTTTTACCAGCCTTAATGAAACTGGTACAGGTAAATGCTTTTTGATTATTGAAGATGAATTTTTATATGTAAATAATTTCATTACTTGTGTTTTTTTAAGATATATAATTCCATTCTTTAGAAGGATTTTTAAAATATTGTTTTCCAACAATCTGTGGATTGTTAAAAGGTGTTCTAAGACTCCCAACAAAAGAAAAGCTTGTTACTGATCTTTCACATTCATATAAAACAAATGTTAATCATACAAGCTATGGATTAAAAACCAATGTTGAGGAATCGCTTATAGAATTTTTAATCAAAAAGGTAACATGTTTACTTAATGGATTATTTATTAATTATATTTTAAAGTGTTTAAAAAATTAAATTGTTTTGTTTTTCCTAGTTACTTGGATTAACAGAGAGCCATATCTTTACAGAAATCGATAAGCAGAAAAATTTACAAGTTATTAAAGTTTGCTTTTTTTTTTAACTTTAATATTTCATCAATATATTATATATTTTTAATATATTACATAAACTAGATCTAACCCTGGAAATCTAACCCTAAAAATCTGATTTTTTTTTTAAATTAGATTCTTAGCATGAGTTGAAAAAGGCAATTTAAAAAAAAGGAAGTTCTTTTGTTGGAAATTTTCTGCTAATTCCAAAAATAGTTTCAGATTTTCATAATCTTACTCCATTAAAAAGTTATGACAGAAACAAGATTTTATTTAGTTTTCACCTTAAACCGGACACAATAAATCCCCCCTAAAATCAATTAAAATTTTTTTATTTTAATTTAATTTTTTTATTGTAATTTAATTTTTTTATTATGTTAAAATTAAATTATTGTATCATTTTTTCAAACTGATTTATATTTTTTAATTTAATTTTTTTAAGTTTTCACACTTTCATGTTAATTAATATTGTACTTTTGCACTTATATTGTTGAAGTTAAAGTGCAAAAGTACACAAAGTAACCACAAAAGTAAACAAAGTAACCACAAAAGTACACAATGTAACCACAAAAGTACACAAAGTAAACAAAAAGTGCATCGTTTCTTTAATTTTGAAATGGAAAAAAATAAAACAAGAGAGAAGCCTTACACTAAAGAGACAATAAAAAACTCATTGGATAAGATTGAAAATGGCAAGTTGAGCTTAAGAGGCGCAGCTCAATTTTACTGCATACTAAAATCAATGTTATTTGACCAAAAATCATATAAGACTTAAGTAGTTGGTAGTGGCAAAACAACAAAATTGAACCTTTTTATTGAGTTAACCTATGGTTCACCTTTTTCAGATGCTTGTCGATAGGGGCTTTGGTAGACAATTAGATCAAGTTCAAAGTTTAGTGAGAGAATGTTAAATTGAAAATAATGAAACGTTGTTCAAAAATGGAAAGTCTGGTTACAAATGGTACAAAGGATTTAAGAGACAGATTTAGCAAATTCTCAATGATAAAAAAGTTATTTAGCTTTTTGTGAAGAGTGTCCGGTTTGTTTTACTTTTACTCTATTTAGATATTGTATATTTTTTAATATATTATATAAATAATTTTTAATACAATATATATATATATATGTATACAATATATACATGCATATATATATATATATATATATATATATATATATATATATATATATATATATATTGTATTGTCAATTAAAAGTGTCATGTTTTTGTTTGTGGAGATGTTTTATTAAATTATTATAAAAATATTAAATTTTTTTCATTTTTGAGTTTCAAAAAAATAAAAAGCTGGAAGAAAGGTTCTATAGTTGTATTATGCGCATGTTGGCAATTATAAACGTGATTATCAAATCTATCTGTTGATTGCCCAGTTCTACAATTAGAAATATGTCCATTTGTACGAAGTCTTAAATTATTAGTTTTTCTGGTGTATGTAGTTTTCATATTGCAAGATATTTTAAATTTACTATTGCAAGTTATATGACTCTTTATGTTCCATATGGAACCATTTGATGTTGTAAACGTTTTAACTCCTTGAAGGTAGAATTTGCATATATTACAACGGATATCTTACATTTAAATAATCTTATTTCTTTTTCAATTAAATGGAACTTTGCAGAGGTCAGTATTCTTAACAGATTGGGTGGTTGTTTAAATGCAATTACTGACTAGGTATTTGAAAAAACTTCCTTTACTCTTTCATTTAAAGATAATTAAGTAAAAGATTAGTTTCGGTAATGAAAGGTTGACAATTCAAGTTGCTATAAAAAGTTGTAACTAAGGGAAAGATTTCTTTAGGTTTATTTTGGGGAGCTGGTCCTTGGAGTTTTGCATTGTGAAAAGCTTTTTCTATAATATTATCAGGATATTCACATTCTTTTAGCCATGTTTTTAGTTCTGCTAATTGTTGTTTTTCCTTTTCGTAATCAGATGTGAAAACAATTATTCTTTTAGCCAGATTGAAAGGGATATTCTTTTTTATGTGATAAGGGTGATGACTTTAGTGTTTTATGTGATAAGGGTGATGACTAATTTAGGTAATCACGAGTAATGGTTTCTTTATAATATATGTCTGTTTTTATTTTATTGCTATTTTGGAGAATAATAGATATGTCTAAAAAATTAATCACATTGTAAGTGTTACCATCTTTTATAAATTTTTTGCCTTGGTCTGTTGTAAAACTGATTGAACTATCTATTTCAGTTAAAGAATTCATAAATTTTTTTATATCCAATTGTTTTTAGCCAGATTATGAAACCCTCATCAATATATCTATAATAAAATTGTTATATATTGTTAACATCTTAATTGGAAAAGTACTTAGGTAAGATTTTAGGAAAAAGTCTTGTTTCTTCTAAAAACCCAACTGTGAGACATGCGTAGTCTGGAGCAAAATCAGTACCCATTGCTGTTCCTGTAATTTGGTGATACATTTTGTCATTAAACAGAAAGTTATTGTTTTCTAAAATAAAAGATGTTGATTCTAATATAAATTCTTGAGTAAATCTTTAATCTATTATATCTTTATGTTTTGTAATCCAGAACTTTAAAGCTTCTAATCCTAATTTATGTGGAATACTAGTATAGAGGTTAACAACGTCACATGTCAAAACACAACTTTCTCTCTCTAAATCTCTTGGAATCTTTCTTAAAAAATCCCAATCATCTTTAATAAAAGTTTTTTGTTTTATAACAATAGGATATAAAATTATGTATAGAAACTGACTAAGGTGTGATGTTGGCGAGTTAATTCCTGCAATAATTGGTCTACGCTTGAGGTCTTCTGGTGGTTTCATTTCTATATATAGAGAGTTTGATTTGTAAACTTTATCATAAATTTCATGACATTCATGAGTTTTTGGAGTAATATAAAAATTGCTTGACTTCCATTTGAATTTTGTTATGTAATTTATTTCATTTTTGGTTCGACAATTGTATTTACTAATCATTTTAGTAAGTTCTCTAAAGATAAATTATGTAATTTAAGATTTACCTTTTCATAAGTGTTTAAAGAGAGTAGATGGTCTTGATAAACTAGTTTGTTGTTATAATAAGATTAGTCCATTACAATTAAAGTATTACCTTTGTCTGCCTTTTTGATAACTATATCTTTCATTTCCTTTAGTTGTATTAAGGCTGTCCTTTCTTGTTGAGTAATTGATTGTACTTTGTTG